AAAAAAAAAGAAAAAACCAACAAAAAAAACAGCTAATATATTGTGTTTGGGCTAGTTTGCTTTTGTTTTTAATTGTTCCTTTTTTGGAGAATGAAATACATTTGTGTATATTTTCATATAAGAAGTATGCACTGAGATGTTTCCAAACTGATATATTCCTTTCTAAACGTGTGGTTACTTACCAAAGTCTGTTTCTGATCTTTACCTTCTAAACTCTCTGTGGATCCTCCAGCCCGCACCTGAGCACAGGTAAGAGGGGTGGGGGCAGCGGCATCGCCCCCTCCCCATCCCTGCCAGGGGGTGCAGCTGAGCTGGGGGGGGCTGGCAGATTTTGGGGGGCTGTGACCCCCGGCCCGGGAAGGCTGGTCTTTCCCAGGGCTTGGCAGAGCTGGTTTTTGGGGTGTCGGTGCCGGCAGCCGGGGCTGTTTGGGGTGAGCTGATGCCGGGGAGCAGCTGCTGGGGACAGGGGCAGAGCCAGGGCTTCGTCCCTGGGGGCTCTGCCGGGGTGGCCCAGGTTTGGTGCAGAGAGGAGGAGGAGGAGGAGGATGGGAGGAAGGAAGGAAGGAAGGAAGGAAGGTCACAGGGTGTGGCTCAGGTGATGCTGCTGCCGGCAGCTGTAGGAGCAAGGATGGGGTGGGAAGTCACCTGCGCACCCCTGGAGGAGATTTGGGGATGGAGCAGGACCCTAAATGATGGATAGAACCTAAAATACAGGGAAGGGCAGGGCTGCAGGGGCGCAGTGAGGATGATGATGGATCGATGGGGGTGGTCCTGCCCTCTCTGGGGGTGTGGAGATGCTCAGCAGGGGGACAGGGTGACTCCGTGCTCGAGGGCTGATTTTGGGGGGCAGCAAGGAGCCTGGCAGTGCTGGATGTTTGGATGAGGGGTCGGTGCTGGGGGAGGCTGGCAGTGGGTCGTGGTTGTGTGAGGGGCACCCGAGCCCCCACGGGGACGGTGGCTGTGGCAGGGAGTCTCTCAGGGTCCCTTGGGGAAGGGGGTTGTTGCTGTCGTTGTGTTTGAGGCCACTGCCAGGGTTGGGGGCTGAGGGCAATGGAAGTGTTAAATCCAGATGTGGTGGCAACAGGCCACATGTGAGCCTGGGGGAAAGCAGGGTGGAGAGGAAGAACATGTCTCCTTTTCCTTCCCCCTTTTTCACTTCCCTCTTCCTCTCCAGAATAATTTCAGCAAACCAAGGAAAAAGCAAATTTACAAAAAAATACACCTTTTCCTTGAAAATTTCACTTTACCTTTTTCTCCCCTTGTGTTGTGTGGTTGGGGGATTCCCCCCATCACTTTGGGTGTGAATTGGGGTGTTTGTCAGCAGTTCTGGGGAAGAGGCTGTGAACTGCTGCTGCCATCCCAGAGCTTGGCTGGGGGTGAGGGGTACTTGGTGCTCTGGGGGTCCCCTCCACCCTCTTAGGGAGAGCATCCCCCACCCAAAGTGATGAAAATTCATCCACCTCTCCCTGGTGTAGGAGAGTCTGTAGCAGTGGGCTTCAGGTGAAGGTTTGCTCTGGTTTCCCTTTCCCGTGTTCATCCTTTTATTCCACCTTCCCCTCTCACTTCACTTTTTTTTTTTTTTTTTTTTTTTTCCCTCCTGTTCCACAAAAAAACCCAACCAGACCCAAGTATTATGTTTTCACTACCTCCATCCATCACCCTTCCTTGTCCCATGCAGGAAGCCACACTCGGGATGTAAGAGGGCCTTTCCCCCTTTATTTTTTCCCTTTCCCCTGGCAATTTTGTCTCCCTTCTGTCCCTCTTCCCCTCCTCTCTCTGGTCTCTCACCTGTAGTATTTTACCTGGCTACTGTAACTGTAAATAGCAAGTTTCAATCTGTTAGCAATGGTAACAGTACAGAAAACTGGTTTTGGGGTTTTTTTGTTGTATTGATATGAAATGAGATTATATTTTTGTCAGAGTATATTGTAATAATACTGACTTTGGACATGGCCGAGTTGTACAGTGATTTCTTGTTTAACCCTTTTGGCTCTTCCTGTGCACCCCCTCCCCAGACCTCCCTGCTCCCCAAGTTTCCGTGTCCCAGACCCAGACCCTGCCAGGCTCCTGGACTGGAGCAGCCACTTGGCAATGGTTTTGTGCCAGGGCTGCATTCCCACAGGGTTCCCAGCACGCTGGCGTGTCCCCAGTGGGTCTGGAGAGGTCGGGAGTGTCTTTTAGTGAGCCTTGGAAATGGGGAGGTCCCGGGTGTGCAGGGATGCTCTGGATCTCTGCCACGCTCCGGGCAGGAATCGGGAGCAGTGAGCAGGATCGTTCCAACTCACCTCTTCCCCCAAGTGAAGGGAAACCTCAGTCACTTCCCAATTTCTTCCTCCCGAGCTGCGTTCTCTGGAGGGATGCCTGTTTGCAATGTGCTTTACTTAAGCCAGAAGAGGGTGGTGTGGCTCAGGCTGCGCCAGGAGCGTCTCCAGACAGGCTGGGATGGTTTTCAGGGAGCTGAGACATTGAGAGTATCCCCAGCCCGACCTTCACTGCTGGGGATGGGCGGCTGCTGTCCCCCCATCCCCTCACATCCCCCGCGGGCCAGGGGGAGCCCCCAGCATTGTGAGGGATTTTTTTCACTTCAGATGGGTTTTTCAGAGCGAGATTTTCGTGCTGGTGCCAGTAGAGACTGGCCCAGATCCTCCCTGTGCAGGAATGATGCTCCACAGAGCCGTGGAGCATCCCCTCCCCGGGCATCTCTCGTGGGACCCTGCTGGGATGTCCCCCCGGGCTCCTGGCATCTCCAAGGCCGAGGGGTGAAGCAGCCCACCTTGGGCCATGGCTCCCGCCCTCCCCACGGCTCTTTCCAAGCATTTGCAGGCAAATCAGAAGCTGAAGGGGTGGGAACCATCGTGGCTGCTCCCCCTTCCTGTCCCCCCACGGCCTCCGGGTCGGGTCCTCGTTCTCCCCCATCCCCTTTGCTCCCCTGGCTCCCCGTAGCTCAGTTAAGCAGGTAGGTGTTAGCAAACTCTGGGGTGTCTGCAAAAACCTTTGTAAAATAGAATAGACCCTTTAAATGATGCACTAAAAGGAAAAAAAAAAGAAAAAAAATCATAAATGCCCCCCCGTCAGCTTCTCTGTGTGATGGTTCGTTGGATGTCCCCGCTCAGCCCGTCTGTACCGGCACAGGCAGCTCTGCATCCTCCCCCCAGGGTGCTGCACAGGTAGAAACAAAACAGGACGTGCACTTCCCCCGAGGAGTTTTATTTATTGTTTTGAGAAGCAATTTAAAAGGGAAAGAAAAAAAAAAAAAAAAAAAAAAAAAGAAACTGTATCTATAATATATATATATATACATATATATATATTTTTAACCTCTTTTTTTTCCTGATGCTCCTCCACCCGTGTGTGTGG